TTATTTGATTATTTAAAAAAAAAAAAAAATATTAAGTGTTAATAAATTGGATAGAGCCTCTGACACCAGTCCTTTCATGGTTTTTAAAAATATTCAGTTGAAAATGTAAACTCCAATATGTAAATATTAATAGGTTATGTAGTTGCGTCAAAGTTAAAAATTAATATTCTGAAGTCAACAACTGAAAAACTGTGAGAAGAGCCACATTTACCATTTTATTTTAGAGGGCATGTCCAAATTTCATATAATTCAATAAATTACTTTGTAAAAAAAGGTTACACATCAGATTATGCACACTTACTCATGCTTTTATGATCACAAAATGTAAAATTTCTGTCTCAGTTTGCAACGGATTTCATTGACTTTGGACTTAGTTGGATTCCTTAAAGTAAAAAAGCAGTTTTCCGATACTTATTCGGCTCGGCCCGCAAACCTCTCGGTTCGCAAACAAAGACTTTTCAAACTCGTAGGAAAACTACTATTTCGCAGTAGTGTGCGAAAAATAGTAAAAATGTTTTCCACACTGATCTTAGTGTGGAAAATCGATTTTCCCACATAGTGTGCGGAAAAGGTGTGCTGCAAAGGTTTTTCACACTAATATCAGTGCGGAGAACACCGATTTTCCGCACACTCGTATTGCGAAGAAACTTGTACGCAACTCGTGCGGGACGATTTCCCGCACTCGTGTGATAGACTCGCACTCGTGTGCTCAACTGGAACTCGTTCCCGTCAACTCCAGCCACTCGTACGAGTCGATCACGACTCGTGCGGAAAATCGTCTTTTCCGCACTTCTTACGTAAATAACTATTAAATAATGATTTTTCAAAATCAGAGAATTAGTAAAGTAGAAACTCCGGCCGATATCCTGAATACCCTTGTTATAACAGGTACCCTATAATAGTAGCACATTGTAAGTTTTGAGAAGAAGACCTGAGCACTTCTTACGCAATTGCGAGAAAATTGCGTAAGTACATGGCTCTACTTCTTAAGCTTGCGATGTGCTACTAGGGCAGTTTATATAAATTATATCAAAGCACTTTTTGGTAAAACTATTTATTTACTAGCGTATTTACACATATTAAACGCACAAGTAGTGGAACACTGGTTTAGCGTGTGATAGAAACAACAGACAGAAAAAATGTTTTCAATATCCTCGACTACAAAACGTCTTAATTGAAATGCCCAATTTCAATTGCATGCATTTGCGCGAGCATTTTACATAGAAGTGTTAAGTTCGTCAGATTTCGGTTCCACAACTTAAACATCATCTAAGTCTTGAATTAGATAAAAAAAATTTTCTTCTTTAGTTCTCTAATTACAATGTTGTGTAAGTTAGTAACTTTGAATTTTTAGGCGGCAAATTAAATTTAAAATCCGCATTTTTATTTCAGATAACGTTAAAACCACAAATATTTGAATGAGCACGAGCCGGTGTGACGCTAATTTAGTCCTATTTTTCATCTAAAACTAGAGTAATACTTTTGTATGATCTAAGTTATGTTGCACCTGTAGCAGAAAACCTCCCTCGATTTTTCAAAAAATCTTTCAGATTGATATCTCCTAACATGACGTTGATAGCAACTGGGAGATGGAATGGGACGTTTTTGGTAATATGACTCATATGTGTATACATATATTTTATATGGAGTTCCTAAATTAAGTTGATAACAACTATTTTTTGGTGTCTTTCCAGTCCTGAAAAACGAATTTGTTTTAGGTTTAATTTTCATGCAGCACTATTTCAAAATGATCTAAAAAATATCTTTAAAAATTTCTCCCATATACATTTGAGCAATCTAAAATATTTGGGAACTTGACACTTGATAGGCAACAAACATTATTAGATGGGAATTATAATTAATAACTATTCAAGAAATAAAAAAAAGTCAACAGAAATGTAAATCTATTCCATAAAGTTATTTTATTGTTGGAAATAATGCAAGAGAACAATTTTGAACAATAAGTTAAAATATTTAAGATTCGTTTTTCTTAATACTTTTGAAAGCCATAGTGAAGCTGCATAAAGTAGTATTAAAAGATTTATGGTAGAATAAACTTGTTGCCTCTTTTGTTTGAGGTTTTAAAAAATAAGTTCTAAAAATCTTATCTATTTTACCGTGTACATTAACAACTATTTCACATAAAACACATTATATGCACGCATATGTGTACAACACTTCATCATACAAATCTATTAGAAAATTAAGAATAGGTACATAATATGTTACATCTGAAATTGTAGTTAACATACCCTATGAGATGTATAAAATTCTCAAAATTATGCATTTCATTATAAAAAGAATTAAAACATATTTACAGTATTTTAAAACACACTTCTGTTGAATATTGCTAAAAAATAGATATTGATGAGTAAATTATTTTTTCTCTTTATAATAATACCAAGCACTTAAGCAACTAAATAATTTGAATTAATTTACTGATTAAACAAGTAGAGAAAAATTTTTAGAAAAAGTAATCTTCTCTACACTCACCTCACACTTTGCTCGGAAATTTTTGGTAACTTCTTTAAATTTGGAGTAATTTTTGACAGACACATTAACATCATCGTAGAGGCGTGTAGTAATTCTCGTGAAACGTAAAAGACTAATGTAAATTTTGATATTATTAATAAAAATAATAAAAATGATAAAACTAATAAAAAAAAAGTAACAAAAATAATAATTTTAATAATAATAATAATGATTATG